TCTGTCTCCTATGGTCAGTGAAGCTGCACTGGTCTGTCAGTTCAGCTATTCACTTCTACCTGGGAACTATCTTCGGTCTTCATTGACTTGCTGTCCTATACAAAATGCTCTGTCCATAATGCCCAAGATTCTTTAAAGGAAAATTCATTAAAGAACTTTTATTCTCCTATTCTTAATCTACAATGTGCTTCCTATGCAGCTCAAACACTGACCATCTCTTCCTTCACCTTATTCTCCTTCTCTGCTGAGTTGAATTTACTGTTTGGAAAAGTCTCCTGCTTCTTCATACCTGACTTCTTGATTCATTTCACACCACATCTCTTTTCTATGTCTGGTGTCTTCTACTATTCTAACTTTAAAATAAATGTCCTGAGTCTTTTAGTCTCACTGGGACTTAACAGGAGGGCACCTTTTACCATTAAGTATTACACACTTTACAGACTGTAACGATGGAAGATAAAATACAGCCTGTAGTTTACCATGTGCAAGCGTAGGCTGTAAGCAGCTATGATAGGCCCACACAAATCACACATACGCATATACTGCACTGGACTACCAATGCCTGAGCAAGGAGGCAGGGCGAAGAAAATGCAACTGAAGGGATTTCCCATAGACTCCATTACTTTTCTTTGTTACTCACCCTAGATAAAAGTCTGGCATTTTCAACCTCAGACACCCACAATATATATCCAGCTATTACATTACTTTACAGCACTTTCTGGCTGAGGTCGTTGGTTTGGTATGGTTGTTGACAGGCCCTGTCACTGCTGTAGCTGGGCTCTGCCATCAAACAACCCTAACTTCTCCAACGTTGTGTAGCTATATTCAGTCAGGGGAAGAGACACAGCAGCTTCTTTACCTTATTCAGGTAAAGAGCTTATTCAGTTCAGGAACATAATGCCTAACAGTGTATAATGCCAATTGGTTCAGAAAAAGCTGTAAAAATTCCAAATAAACACTGTACCACTGATCTGGCAACTCTCCAGTTCTTTAAAGCATGGGGACTGAGAACCCTTTAAAAGCTGTAAGTGTATGCACTTTCTGTTCCCAAATAAATGTCAATTGGGAATAAAATGCAGGGGTCTTCTTCTCAGTGCTGGTTCACTGTCTCAATATTGAGCTAGAAACTTTAACAACCATCTTCTTATGGGGGAAATGCCTTCCTTGGAATATAGCAATTTTAGGAAAGTTTGAACGCAAGTCTGAACATCATGGCCCAGGTTTCTCTCTTGAAGTCACCTGCCGAGGCTGGTATCCACAGGTTTAACTCCTGTTACTGCTGGGGTAACTAGCACTGCTTTTAGAGATAACATTCAGAATGTTGCCAGATGCAACAAGGGAACCCCCAGCTGTTTCCCCTTTTATTAAACGTAAATGGCCACCAGCACAAGTTAGGCAGAGACTTGGTGGCTTCCTTTGCAGCATAAAAGCAGCAGTGGTTTCTCTAAATGTACTCATTAAAATATATTTTCCTTCTACTCTTGGCCCTGAAGGATCATCTCAGCTTATGAGAACTAAGCTTCTGTCTATCTGATTATTAAATCATTTCTAAAGCAGATGGGAAACTACAGCGGTTTAAACAGCTAGGCTGAGACTGCATGGCTAAAAATAATATAGCAGGCTCCTTTTAATTAGTAAGATGATCAAATATGACAGAAGAGCGAGATGTAGATATATGGGTTGGTGTGTATGTGTGTCTTTAAAATTAAGTTATTACCTCAATACCAGGTATTATTTATAACATGTATGATACATGATGTCTGAATTTTATGATGCCATTTATCTTCACTTGGGAGAGAAGACAGGCTAACTCTGCTTTCATAATGTCAATCCCTGCTATATTCAAAAGGAAAACTGTAATAAGATAAACCCGCCACCACGTGCAGTGCCATCATTTTTTAAATGAGGTGGTTTAGTAAGTGCTCCAATGCAACAGATTGTCAGATCTGCAGGGCGCCGCTTACAGTGAGTGCAGCTTCCTAAGATCGACTTTTTCCCAGGGCCCCCTTAGAAAGTACCAAAGAGCCAATCTAGTTTTATATCCGCAATTTCAAAGTATGGGAGTCAGGCACAGGGCCAATGGGATCAGGGACTGGGATGTCTACCACCTGACTCGGCAGCTCACATACCTCTGAGGACTTTTTAAGTGCCCGAATAGATGAGAAGAGACATTTGCCACGTCTCCGCTCCCTTGGCGCTGGGTGATGCCTGCCACGTGGAGGGCTGCTCTGTGGCCCGTTGCTGTTCAGCAGACAACGGACAACGGTGATGTTTGGTGGCAGGACTGAACAGCCAACACCCTGGCTGTGCTGCAGCCGGGGCACGGGGAGCCCGCTGGGGCCTGCGCTGCTCGTGTGGAGTCCGCCACCAGATATGCCGGTGTTGCGGTTGCCTGTATGTTATTTCCTGGCTGCCTGCAGGAGGTCTGAAGCTTCAGAGGCAGGATGGGAAATGACAACAAAAACGTGAGCTACAGACACGGTAGCAGATAATCAGAAGAGTCTGAGGATATCGGCATATTGTACACTGGGTCGGACAGACCTCCCCTTGCCTCCCAGGGAGACACACAAGGGAGACGTGGCAGGATATCCCTGTCGCTAGAGGAGGGCCTGACTTGTGGCGGGCGCATCCTCCCTCCCTGGCCACTGCACGCAGGTCTGAGCTAATCCTCTGAAAGCATCTGGAACCAAAAGGTGAGCCACCACCGCAGTGAAAATTCTCCTGACGCAATCTTGCTGCCTTGTTCAATGCGGACCAGATAACATCTAGCTTCCAGCAAGATCTGGTGCATTTCACAAAGGCAAAAACTTGGTGCTTTCATTAGTTGTGAGCTGCCTTCTCCCGGACAAAAGTACCAAAAAAAGGAAGATGAGGAATTCTAATTCTGGTAGGAATGAGGCAACGAGATGAAAAAAAAATCTATAAAACATTGTTCTTTCTTATTCTTCATTGATCCCCTTGAAAGTGTGAAGCCTCTGGTTGGCTAGCAGGGCTCCACAGTTATCTTTCTAAAGGTTGTCAAAATTATGGGGTTAAACTCTGTCTCCTAATTGTGACTCAGAGATGAGCAGGAGTTGGACAAGCTCACTGCCATTTGTTCTCAGCCTGAGATCTCAAAGTCAGGCTACATAGCTTTCCACCCAGCCGGGGCAGCAATCTGGAAGTATCAAACGATTCAGCTGAGGAGAGGTTTACCCAAAATGAGAGATGAAAAGCCTGCAACATTGTCTGCAGTTTGAAGACAAAGTTTTACTGTTGTTTTCTCAAGAAGTCCAGTTTTTTTCTCTGCTTATCAAATGAGTGCTGTTAAGCTGCGAAAAACTAGAACAGGCAAACCAAGGGGTTTTGATATTTTTCACTCAAGTGCAGACTCCTTTTCTAAGGAGGCCGGCACTTCCAGCACTCTGGCTATAAATAGGCCTTAACTGGTACGGCTGCCACCCCGATAAATACAGCATCATGAACAAGCCATCAAAGGTGGTCCAACCCTACCTCACCTACATGCTTCTGCTTCGGCCCTCTTCCATTTATACCATTGGTGAAACTGAAGTTACCCAAACTTTTGAATATAATGATGCAAAACAAAACCATAACATTATTAGGTACCTGTTTTCCCTGTTTTGCCTACCAGGTGAATTGCGTCAGATTTTAAATAACAGACAGAAACTTCTTTATTCAAAGAAAAGTGAGCTGAAAATTATTTGTGTGAGGTTTTCAAGAGGCCTGAAGTGCCTCAGTTCTACAGGAAACAGTAATGGTTTGATGCCAGAAGAAAATCTGGTCTGTATTTTAAAAAAATATTTTAAATATTTTTATAAACTTACTAATAACTGTGGTGGCATGGAAAGAACAAGTCCAGCAAGACTACTTTACCTCCCACTGTAATTGCATTTGAGCTGCTGCTTGGCTAATAGTTTTCCTGATGTTCTTGCCAAATGACACATATTTTCAGTCAAATTTTAATCATGAAATCCACATTTTGATCTTGAAATTCAAATTTAATTTACTTTAAAACTTATATTTTTATCCAAAATCAAAGTTTTGGAGTTAAAAAATTCCAAAAAAAATTTTGCATTATATTTTGCCTTCCAGTTCTGGAGTCTGTAATCTTTGAAACAGTTTCCATGTGAATGAAAGGGCTGCAAGCTGCTGGCCTCCTTGCCCAGCACCTAGCTGTCTTGGTCAGACTGCCGTGAATTGCCTCAGGAGACACTGCACTTGTCTAAGTGCTGAGCATCGGGAGCTACATGGTCTACAGCACATGCTATCGTGATAAGACCAAGCCTTCAATGACCCCAATTCCATCATTTCCCAAACTGTTGGGTCATAGGCCACAGTCAATTTTGAAAATTGCTCAGGGGCTTATTATGCTCACTTGTCACCAGCCAGAGCACAGTATGGAGGTGGCTCACTTCTACAGATAATATACAGTACAGCCAATCCGGGAGCCACTGCATCTCACAGATGGCTTCTTGAAACAAATAAACTTAGAGTCCTACGTATTTTGGATGGTTCTCTCATACCTGCTATTGGAAATCTGACCTCTTATTTTTCTATTTGAGAAACAGGCTTAGGGCTCCCTTCCAAAGAGAGCTGAGCACTCTGGCTCTCATCCAGCAAAGCCTCTAAGCACATGCTTAACTTCAGCATGCCCATGTAGGGGCATCTTGAATATGTGAGCTTTTAATGAGCGATCACTAAAGTGTAGTGGAGCTCTGGGAATGAGGGCCACTGAATTTCTTCACTCCTACACACTCAGGGAACTGCAGTGCATTTTGGAGAACTAGAGCATGTAGAATTAACTTTGTCTTCATTGAATCCCCTGAGTACGCCATAAGGTTATTGCTTTGGTAATGCTGCCCTTTGACGATATTATGACATGCCAACACAGTGACTTTTTTCTTAACTGATGCTAGTCACAAACTGCCATAATGCAAAGTGTAAGAAATCCAGACCTTTCCTAGTTCTTGTGGCTACCATGTCAACATCGGATGATATTTCATATCTGTATTAAGGAAGTGAAAGAAAATGTTTACAGTATGCTAGCCGGTATGACAAAAATGAATTAAAGTGCAGACCAATCTATAATGATTATCTTTACAGGCACTTATGTTGTAATCCCACTTTCCCAAATTGAACTTGTCATGTTACTCATCAAATCAAATGTAAGAGAAAAATCTGTTCTCAGCTGTGTTACTATAAACCTACCCAGACTAATAAGGTGAGAGCTACTCTTCTATGCTATCTGGTGAATCTGGAGGCAGAATTTACCACTCAGTATAAAATATTTTTGTATAATACGTTTAAAAAAATTCTTGCTTGTTTCTCTTTCTGGCAGACTCTTAGAAAGTAGTAAATATACATATGGGCATAGCGATACATTTGGTAGCAACATATTTTAAATGTGTGTATATGCACTAGCTATTTAAATACATTCCCCAGGAAGTGTGCCAGTGGATGTATTACAAAGCTCTGGATACTATATTTGGGTTTGCTTGTGTAGTTAGCATGTCAGCCTCAGAAAGAACTCCTCGAGGCTTACTTGTTATCTGATAGCTCACACTTACCTGTGCAGTTCCCTCTTTTCTATCTGTATGTGCAAATATTTTATATTTATACACTGTGTGTACATATATAGTGTATATATAAATATACATACATACATACACACACACAAATGCAGGCATATGTACTGTATATACACATAGTCCAATATCTTTGTTTTAAAGCTGTTGTTATAAAGCCATAACAAGGTTCACAAACTTTCTTTGAAATCTTGTCCTGTACAGTAGCTTCTGTGGGAATCACCTGCTTGATGGCCATCTCTGCTACCCTGCTATCACCTTACAACTAATGATGGGTGACACACAAGGACTGTAGCAGCACGTCAAAACTGTGTAATGCATCAAGTCAGAAGGTACTTGACCCTGAGCAATACCTGCGCAACTCCACGCTGCTGCTGCTGCTGCTGCTGCTGCTGCACTGCCAGCACTGGTCGGGCGTTGGCCCTAGGTCACCCCATGACACAGCTTGGTGCCTCGCTGTGCCGCCCTGGGTCCTTGCACCTCGGCTCTCCCTTCCTGCACCTGCAGCGCCTGGCCCTGGCCTTGCGCCTGCTCCCTGCCTCCCACTCACTTCCCAATGGGTCAGCTGCAGATATGTATGTGTATATACATACAGTATCATCACCATGCACGGAGGTCAATATGGATACTGTATGCTGCAGAGGCACTGCTAGAACCATGCTCTTCTATGTTACTGCGCAAGGAAAAGCCACAGCAAATACTGTAGTGGGAACATAGCAAAAAGACAACCTTCCACTGAATTCTAAACAAAAATCTATTTTACTTGTGCAGTGATTATTAGCTAGAATGAGCATTATGGAATTCTGCTTTTTTTCTTTTCCTTTCTTTAGAGCTACTATTTAAATGAGCTACAGTATCAAAAGAGAAGCTGCAAAGATGCTATCTGCAAAAATAAAAGATGAAATAAAAAGTTAAGCATCCACATTCCCCCCAACTAGAAATAAAGTTCTGAGGAAAGGGAGGAGGGGGAAAAAAAAGGAACTTACCACACTGCGAGTGAACTTTTCTAGAGAAGTTCTACGACCTTGCTCATTCTCTGGCTTAACAGGGGAAAAAGGGGGGAGAAAAAATACAGAAAAAAACCCTTCAGCTTAAATGCAGTTTTTCAAACCAGCAGCAAAATATAAGGAAGCAGCAAGGGAACAAAATTGTAAAAAAAATGTAAAAAGCAAAAATCAATGTTTGCAACAGCAAACATAAGAAGCCAAAACCCCTTAAAGAATGAGATACATCACTACTTTTACTCTTGCAGAATGTCACCTTTTCTCCTGCAAGTTTTTTGAACGGTTCAAACAGGGTCTGTGCATTGTTGTGTCTCACAGCTATTGGTATTGATTTCTTGTACATTGAATTTTTCTTCTGTAGCTGTTTGAGCTGAGACCTCTGATTCTGGTTAACATCTGCCAAACAGCTGATTGGAGGTTCCCATCTACTTTCTTAGAGAGATGAAGAAAACACAATAACTTTTACAATATTAAAAAAAAAAGTGTGTGAGTGAATACAGTGCTGGAGAGAAAAACGCTGTTGAACTGATTGCCAGGAAACCTGCACTCCTCTATTTATCCAGAGGGTAGAATCAGGTTTCCAATAAGCTTGGCTCAATCAAGACAGCATATGTGTATCTGTGCAAGGCTACGGAAGTTACAGGCAGATTTGGGGCATTGATATTTTGGTATCAAGAGTACAGGGCTATTCATATATGAGAAGACATTCAACTACGCTATGAGAAGATAAGCATGTGCATCATGGCTTTATTAACATATCCATGAGAAGAAGATTGCTCACCGCAGCACTTCATTCATTTGGCACAAGAGAGGCCTAATTGTCACTAACGAGGAATAACTAAATAATTTATTGGCATGTTTGTCACAACATCTAATGGAAAAAAATGTTATGGAGAACACAAGAAACTCAATAATATGAAGGAAAGCTCACTGCAGTCGGAACTCTGTGAGCATTGTTGGTTTCCTGGAGAGAAACTTGTGGTGAGCCAGAGAAATGGAGATGATAAGATGGAAGTAGAAATGCAGTGAAGGGGCTAAGGAGCTACATGTAAGGGAAAGCCACAGCGCGAATTATGCATGACGGTGCCCTGGAACTCAGCATCGCTCAGGAATTCCTTATCGTCCAGCGGTGCCTGCTCGCTATCCCTAGCTGCCACACGCTCAGCCGCAATAACAACCCCCAGGAGAAAGCACAAGTGCAAAAACAGGTAGAGATTTAAGGAAAAGCATGTCGGATAAATTGGAAGAAAACTCGTATAAACGAGTGTCGGCAAAGCCTTCCGATTTTTCTTCAAGTTGATTATGCTGTCATAAATTACAGCACTCTGATGTCTAAGAGATCAATCTGAACTGTCCCAGCCGGACACTGCGCTGATGCTCCTTGATGAGTCACCTGAGATAAGACCAGAACATAGGGCTATTTTAAGACAAGCAATACTCTTGGTCCAGAAGTAAGAGTCAGCCAGCCTCCCCACTTACAACCATTTGAGAAAGCCACGCGGCCAGCTCTGATGTCCCCAAAGGGGTACCAAACGTGAAAGCTTGAGGCCCTGAGAGGAAAGAATTTTAGAGCTGTTCAGTAACTCGGTGAGACTGTTTGAAGTACACTGAGTTGAATACAATTTTTAACATCCAGGACAACATTTCTGCAGGGAGAGAAATGATCTGAGCTTCTGAAGAGATGAGACTGTTTTCAATGCTAGATTTTGTATGTGTGGCTTGCAGCACCACTTCCAGAAACATACTTAAAACATGTCACACTGAGGGCTTGTAACAAGGAGGGTGCATTTTAACACACCCGAACAGCAGCTGCTGTTTCAAAGGAGGGGGCACTGCTCACTGCAGCTTCCTTCTGAGTAGCAACGCTGCTGTGTAAGGCCCAGGTGGGCAGCAAGTAGAAAGGGAATGACTATCTTGGAGCAAAATAGGGGGAGAGGTAACACAAGGCCCCCGGCCCAGGCTTAGGGCAGGCGATTCTATTCAATCACACACACTGCCCAAACAGCCAGCGAAACTCAACTGAACCAAAGCAGAACAAGGTGATGAAATCCACCTGGGAAAAGCCCCACATGGAGAGAAGACCGCCGCCAGGGAGCTAAAGGAAATACTGAGAGAAATCATTTTTAACAAGGCTGCTTGTTATGGTGATAAAGCCCAGCTTCGCCGGTGAGTGCTCCCGCGCTGCTGAATTCCTCCGAGCTCTCCCTCTAGCCCCTTGCAGGGAGGGCAGTGCTTGGAGGCTGTCCCGCTTGGTGGCCAGCAGCCGAGGTGTCGTGGGAGTCCTTGAAGTCAGCTCTCGCCTCATGGGGCTGGCATCATTTCAGCCAATACTGAGGACGGAGACAGTGCCTCAGTGAGTTAGGAGCGTGCGGGAAGCTGCAAAGCAGGCTAGCCAGGAGGCAGGAACATACCCAGGTCTTGCGTGGGCCCAGAAGAAATACCGAACATGCACCAACCAGAGGGTTAGTTCCCTTTCCCTGCCTGTGAGAGGAGAGGAAAGGGCAAAAGGACACCTCAGACTGTCTTTGGCACCGCATGCAAAGGCAGTGTGGGTGCTCGGAGCATAGCGCAAGGATCCCCTTCTTGAAGGGAACCGCAGAGGTGTCCCTGCGCCCCACGAAAGAAGAGGTGATGGTGCGGTCCTGCCGCCTTGGTCAGGCGCTTAGTGAGGGGCAGGCTTGAAAAAAGCCACGCACACCCGAGCACTGGGCCTCTCGGGGCAGCAAGGCCCTCCAGCAGGCAGGGTGCAAAGGCACAATTTCACTCAGGAAAAGAAATACCTAGGCCAAGAGCCAGAGTACTTTGCTAGCCTCCTTAATGGAGCAAAACACTTGCAGTCTGCAGCATCATATTGCAAGGTGATGCAGCTCCTCAGCCAGCAGGAAAGCAGGCCAGTGGCATCTAAAGATGATGAGAGCCTTGCTGGGTGCAGAGAGCTCACCTAGCACAGGTGGCCATGTACAAAGCTGTTTCCCTCCCGTGGCTGAAGACGTGCACAGAAATTCAGGCACGGAGGGCCCCGAAGTGCTGAGGTGTCCTGTGGAAACGCCCTGCAAGCACTAGCTGCAGGAGCACTGCGCATTTGGCACAGGGTTGGCAAGCTGAGACCAGCTGAACGTGTGGAAAGCCGATCCCCATAGCATCCCCAGAGCATAGGTTCTGAGTCAAAGCATGACATTTTCCAAGAAAATAAATAAGCAGCTGAGGCAGGCTGGCTACAGAGCGATGAGCCAGCAGGAGCAGTCCTAATGGCAGTGGGTGTGGGCGCTGGGCGTAGGGCTCCCCAGCTTTTCCTGCCAGCGTAACCATTCGCATGCATCCCTCCAGCTCAGTGCAGAGGTGTTTAGGCTGCCTCACAAAGCAGAGGAAGGAAATTTAAAAATAACAAAGTTAAAAAAAAAAAGAGGCCAAGTCAGACCTTTCTCAGTTCTGTGACTATATCTCAGGTCCAGCACAGGAAGTGTCTGACCAGACTGCAGGCCCCTGAGCTGTGTGCGCTGTGGTTGTATGAGTGCACACTGCATTTGCAAAGTGCGCAGGCAGAGAAACACACTCGCATGCCAGGTCAAGCAGACCTCGTGGGTGCAAAAAGGAAACGGGCTTTCTTTGCCAGTAAACACACCAACAGACTGTACCAGCTAATGGCAAAGGACATGTTAATTTAGATAAAATATGAAACAATCACCCTCACGGTAAAGGGAAACACCTCAGCTCAGGTAGGTGCAGAGAAATAAATCTCATCCCTTTTGAGCAGTCCACTAACCACTGACTGTCTTTGGGCAGATTCTACCGCACTGGGCAGTGTAAGTAGAAAAACTTAAGAAAAATAGCTGACAGATTATCAACAACAATCAGGAGAAAACTGATGAGCATTCTTACAACACTCAAGCAATCATGTTTCTTCTGATGGGACTGAGAAGGGCAGAGAATATGCAGTAGGTGGCTTACTGGACGGTACAGAGCCCTAGGGACAGAGGGCATGAATAAAAGCAATGCTTCATAAAGTGTGTGCTGAAAATGGAGCCTGCCTGTCATGGGCATAAAGCTCCTAGCCGTTGCGTTGCCTTGTTAGCATTTTTTGCCAATGATTTGAAAAGAGGTAAGAGTATATCCAAAAAGCTTGGTCTTCTGAACCTCTGGTCTACAAAATCCTTCCCTCTGGTATTCATTTTGTTGGCTGTTGGATCTTTCTTCTGGTGTGAGTCTCTTTTATTTTTTTCTTTTTAACTTTGGATGTAAACCATGCATTTCAGAGGGAATGATACTGCACTAGGATAATGGCAAACCGCTTCCGTGACACTGGTCAGGAAAAGGCCGAGAGCAGGTCCTCAGCTTTCCAGACAGTTGTTTACACCTGTCCCAAGTTAGAAAGTAGAGGGCACGTACAATGACTGGAATAGTGTTTTGCATTTGTTTTGCATTAATTTGTGCAGGGCCACAAAGAACTCACCCTTTTCTGAACCAACTGAAGAGAAAAACAGTGCTCTCCTCCTCCTCAGCCACCCCAGACACCGACCTGCTCTTCCTCCAGCGTGATAGGGCTTGCCGCCGTGGCTTTGCAGCCCTTCTCCACTGCAGCTCTGGCTGCTCTGCTGGGCCCCTCCCTGCCTCAGCTGCTCCGTGGGCACGGCGGGATGGGGGAGAGCTGCCCCTCTGCCAGGCTGACACGAACACCGGAGCCACGAGGGCACACGGAGCTAGCAATCTCCCAACACGGAGATGCCCACCAATGTCACCACTACACCTTCCTTTTACAGACAGCAATTGGAAAGTGCCCTGAGGTCTTTTCTGCTCCTCTCTCTCTCTTCTCCTCAAAAATAAAGACGAGAGCATTTTTCTGACTGGTTCTGTGCCACTAATGTAGCGTCCTGTGATGACCCCCCCCTCCCCCCCGCCCCCATCGCCCCAATGGTGCTCTAACTAACATACTCTGTTCCTTCCCCGGGGAATAAATCCCTGCTCTGCAGCCAAATCACCCAGCCAAAAATCCTACTTGCCTTGAGCGAGTGGGTTCATCAGGGCACTCATTCTTACATAAAGCTCACTGCCATCTAAGGACATCCAGCCACCTCTTTGGCTACCGTGGAGTAGGGCTGGGGAATGGTGGTTGTTACCTGCTAAAAGTAGTCTGAAGTAATGTGTGTATCAGCAGAAATATGAGCAAGCTGATGCTTGACTCTGCACAGCACAAACGGGGTGTGTTGCGTAGCTACGCAAATAAAAAGCAATGAGTCGGCTGGGGATCTCAGCACCATCCAGCCTGTCGCTGCTGAGCCTGCTGCTCTCAGTAGCCCAGTGACTTCCACCTAGCTGCAGAGGGAAGGCCAGACAGGGAAGCGCAGAGCAAAGTCAGGCCAGGCTTACGGCCATTTTCTCCTGAGGACGGAGCTCTGCCCTCACCCTTCCTCTGCTTCAGCCTGGCAGCGGAGGAAGCCTTCTGTGTGAATGACACAGAGATTTACACCCAGCTTTTCTCCTCTCTGTAACATTGCTTCCAATCACACCCATGCTGGAGGCTAACCTCATGTTCCCTGCTGAGCACCATGAATCTGCAGGATTGAGGCCAATAATACTGTGGTTATTTGTAATAATGACACTTATGAGGAAAGGAGAAAAAAGTCTAAACTGGATTAACACAGTATGTATGCGTGGTTTGTACACAGCCGATGTCCACTGTCTTGCATCAGTCAGTGGTGCAAACAATACGTTCCTTCCAGCCTCCCTGGTCCTTCTCATAAGTCTGCCATTGTATCTCAGGCCTGACCCATACCTTTCCCTCCCTCCCCTTCACTGGTCCACTCCCAGAGAAGGGATTAGAAGCTGGCGCATGTGCGGTTATTGTACAGTGTGGAAGTAACTCTTTGAACTTATGGTGTATTCTGAATTCCAGATCTCAAAAAATGTCAAGCATGTTTGAGGCCCTAATCAAGCCCTAATCAAGGATCAACATCTCCACTAAGCACGTAACTATTATTATTCCCGTTTGACAGAGAAGAGAATATGAGTCAGAGCAAAATTGTACTTTTTTCCCCCAAGATCACACAAGAAAATAAATGGTGGGATCAGGGGAAGAGCAAGGATGCTGTGGCTCCCAGTCCTGTGCTTTAGCCACACAACTAACCTCCCTCTTTCTGCTCTCTCAGCCTGCCACAGTTCAGCACTGGAAGGCATGCAGAGCAAAAGACTCCCAACTGACAGACATAAACTTACCCACAAAATATTAACATATGAATCTCAAGCCATATAAATGTTCATTTATTCTGTGCAAATAACTCTTTTATCCCAAGTTCCTTATGCTGTTCTTCTGATATTACTTATTTTCAATAATAAAAATAAGGCTATGTCACATTGGCATTGTAGACAGGCAATATTAGGATAACGTCCTTGGGGCAAGACACACTCGTGCCCCAAAGAGACAAGCTCATCAAGTCTTAAGCAACTGGAGTGAATTTCCACTCACATCAGTGAATCCAGGATTTTGTCTGTAGGCTCTAAACCAAGTCCTCCATCCATGCAGTCTCTGATATTCCACTGCTTTCCTTTACCTTCTCTCTGCTTTCCAGCTCTCTGAAGGAATATTAAAGGGATGCCTCTCAAAGCTGTGCCAGCATTACTGAAGATGTTACCATGCAGCTCATCGTACAGGAACTTCATGTTCTTCCTGTCAGCGTACCTACATCTCTGCAAAAGCGCTCACTTGCCTGACACAATACAATGTGACTGCAAAGAGCTTTACAGATCCTGGAGTAACATTAACTCCCCTGCTGCACCATGTGAAGCTGGTGAACCACCCCTCTACACAGCTCTACTGCTGTCTTTCTGTGCCTAGCTATGTTTACTCGAGCACCCACAGCTCTTTCTAAAAGGAACTTGATTCTTACTTTCACGGCTGTGTTAACACGACACTAAAACCTGCTCCTCAGGCAATCTGCGGGGGGATGAGGACGTCGTGCTGACAGGTCCAGGGCTTGATCTGACAGCAAACAATGATTGCAAAAAAACCCTCTGTTTTGAATAGGCTCAGCTGGGAGGAGAAAAATCTCCTGCACTGAAGCACATGAGACCTCATGTTCAAGGGAGACTTTGTGGGGGGGTAATGCACAGCAGGCTGATAGGGGGAGGAAGATGGCAAAAGGTTTTAACTTCCATATCATCGGAAGGTTTTTCCTTGCACCTCCTTCTTTCCCTTTCAACTCTGAGTCATGTCTAACCTTTTCAACACCATCATATTTTTGTCTTCTGGTCTGTGCTGTCTCAAACCAGACATTTTGAAACATAGGGCCAATTTAGGCCCTCTATTACCTGCCCCTAATCCACCTGCCAGGCGTTCCCAGGCATAGCAGACAGAGGGGTTTGTCCCCTTTTGTCACCATACGCGTGCTTTTAGGACAGACAATGACAACTAGGACAAAAATACCACTGGGATTTCATTGTGTTGTGCCAACGCAAAGTAATTTGGCAGCACACAGAGAATGCAGCAGAAAAACAGCAGGGAACGTGGTGATGGGAAACCACGCGCTCAGGAGGCAGCAGTCAGGAGTCATTTTGTCTGCTCTTCTGGAGATCAAATGTAAGTGGAACACACACGCATGTACATGCATGCAGATGCACACACACGGACACGCAGACTTACGGGAGTAAGTCAAGACGTGCAGAAAGCACGTGAACACAGCCACAAACGCAGAGATAAGTAGCTTACCTCCCAGCCCCCTCAGAATGAGCGACCTGAGCCAGTTGGATAAGAGCTGCCTCAGTTCTACGTAACCGTTCCTTTGCTAACCTGAACTGGGGATTCCTGGCAGTAATATAGTGCTGGCAGAGGACATATGGACACCAAAAAGCCTGAAAAGAGCTCAAATCCAGTTCTTCCGTGAAAGGTGTGGCTGAAATTCTTGATTACTATATGGGTTGCAATTCTTTCTTTCCTCAAAGAAAAAAAAAAATCACATCTTTGGGAAGCCAAGAGCAAGGGAAAGAGAAAAGCAGAACAGAAATCAACACAGGGAGGTTTATAGGTAAGGCATCCAAAGGGAAGATCACATGGTGAGACTACGGAGGCAAAGACCAGAATGGGTGAAATAGATTGATGGGTTCTGCTTCCCATACCCGATATCAGCTTTGTCATGCGGAAAAGGTAATACAATTTTAATTGCCTGCACTGAGTTTGTGAGACTTGTGCAAGACAAACGCTTTTCCATACTTTGTACCTTGGGTTGCTAACTATTCCATGTTTTGCCCAACACGTATGTTGAGACTGTGCATGCGGATGCCATACCCTGTGCCCTCAGTGAAGAAAACAAAAGTTCTCATTCCGCTCTTAAAAAAAATTAAAAGAAAAGGAAACAATATTCTCATTTTCACACTAGCAGCAAGCAGCAGGCAAGAATCAAGAGGTGCTAAAAGAGGCAAGCATGTCCTTTCCAACAGATACCTTCTTCTTCGCCAGCAATAAATCCTGGTAAGCATTAGAACGGAGGAAGCGCGCATAGCTGTCACTCTTCATCAGCTTGTAAATGTGCTCCTGTGGGACGGGAGGAAATGAGAGACAGAGAATTCTTATCAAAACTCATTTAGACATCACAGGGACTTAAAACACAGGCAATTAGAGGGAGAGAGACTGATCAAAGTTCTAATTAAGTCTGCTATTATTGATTATTTGTACTGTGGTAGTGTGCAGGAGGTCCATCCGGGGGCAGGACCCCGGTAGGCTAGGGGCTTTATAAACCCAAAACAAAAAGACGACCCTCACCCCAAAGGCTGGCATTCTGTGGCCAGTGTTATTCTGCAAAGACTGTAACTCTCAGAAATCCCCACATCATAAGCAGCTGTCTAGCCAGGCTGAAACTAGTGGGATGTCACAAGGATGAAGAAAGAAATGCCAGAATTTGTACCTATGATTACGTTTCATTTTATCATTCTTGGATACTTGAACTGTCAGCCAGTGCTCCCCTCAGGGTTCATGGAGGGGAACTGATGCTAGGACACATTTCATCTCCACTTAAGGCAGACACTTAAAATAAGCCAAACCGATCACGTCCTACAAAAGTCTGTATCTCTGGCTGACCGACTATACAAGGCGTTTATACAGCTAGCTCAGATGTGGATGTCTGTATCATACGTATGAAGCTACGTCAGTGAGTCCCTCCCATAGGGTCTTATTTTCCCTTGTGAGTCAAACAACTGTTACGAGTTTGCTCTGAGTATATAGCACTTACTATGTGAATCTTCAAACTTGCAAACTGGCATTTCATTGCAGTAGAACTTCTTGCCTAGCCCTCCTCCCAC